GGTACGTTTGTGACCCAATTCCCATTTTACATTTTAAAGCACCGCGACTCGTTTAACTCCATTACAAGGACGGTATTTAATTAACAGGAAAAAAAATGTTGAATAGTTTCGCTGTAGTTAGCTCCGAACTTCCCCGCAACGTAGAATCGACGTAAGAACCACGTGCAAGTCGGTTGACTCTTAAAATGTCCATGAATCGAACCTTTAAAGAGGAAAAGATAGATAGAGAGGAAAGAATAAAAAGAGAGAATTTTATAAATGCTTTAGCGATTGTATCCACACCCACGTTGTGTATGTGTGTGTGTGTGTGTGTGTGTGTGTCGTATATCTTGAATTTTATTTCGTAAAACTGCACGTTTGCGGTCCTTCGATAACCAGGAAACCACATTGACGCAATTCTACAAACCGACATGAAAGTGCGCAAATCAAAATTTTCTTTCACTTTTTTTATCAATGCTTTTTCAAATGTACCGTCGACATAGGGAATATATATATATATATATATATATATATATATATATATATCCCTCTCTCTCTCCCTCTCTCTCTCTTTCTCTGTATGTCAATATAACTTCATAGAAAAGATGATTTTACGTCACGTCTATTTCGAAAGACTTGATGTAAAAAATATGCGACGAATATTTTTCACATTTTGATCTATTGGTCCAAATGTATGTAAATGCACCGTATAGCTGATTAAAACTTAATCTCGTAGAAAATGATAATATATTAAACTTTCTTTTCAGATTAATCGGATATTCCGCAAATATTTACAGTATATTCTCGATTCGTAAGGTCGTTTGTTCGAAACTACGCGGAATTAGCGGACGGACGATCCATCGAGAAAAGTTACCTACCACCATCCTGTTTTCTTCTCCCATTTCCACCAATCAATTTCCTTCGTTTCACTCCCGGTCGTTCCTCTCCGGCCGAGTCAATTTAATTCTGATTAATTACGTTTTAATTAATACAAACGCGTTTCCCGAACAACCTTAGACCGAGAGGGAATGGTTTGCGAATGGTACGTTGCTTTTTTTCTGCTTAGTTCTCCGCTTTTATCTCGGATGAAATCGAGGCACACGGTTGTCCCGGAAATCCGAGTGAGAAAGACGAGTGACTCTTCAATCTGAAAGCGGAGGGGCGAGGAAAGGATGTCGGGTTTTTCCTGCCATAGCGGATTAATGGAAAATAATGGCCGGCAATGTGAAATCGCGGTCGAGGAATCTCGTTATTTCGAAAGCCCGTCGTTCATATTTATTTGAGACAGAGAGAACCGTTCCAGAGTACAACTATGTAAAAATCTGTCCGATAATTGCCTGAACACTGAGGACGACGGTTCTTTCATATTGTCTCATTTGTGCTTTTTTTCTGCTGTCACCGTAAGATACAAGAACTGGTATATTTGTTAAAGTTAAATCGAGACAAATTTAATAAATACGATCTAGACGGAAATTTTCCTCGAAGAGAAAGAGGTCGACGCAGGTCGAGAGGTCGAGAGTTTGATGCAGGATATTATGCGCTTGAAAACAAAAGAAATAAGCAAGAGTTATAAAAAGGAGGAAGAAAAATATAAATCTCGACTGAAAATCCGCTGATAGATTGCTACATGATAAAGTCGCCGACGATTGCGACATTCCTTTTTAAACCAGTTATTTTGCGAGAAAAATAATCACGATTGTCGTCTTGAAAAAAAAAAAAAAAATTGACAGTTCTACATATATTAAACACTCTATCGAATCAATTGCCGAATGAAGTAGGATTGACATTTCTTTCTATTGTACATCTTTACACTATTGTGTTAATATTACCGTAAATTTTCGCAATAGCTTAGAGTCCTTATCTTTTATATGTAACTGTATTAAATGCGCAATACTCGCTCCTTCATATCCTTGCGATTGCGGGCGGTTTCGAGACTCGTTTCCCATTTCTCGCATTAGCGAATTTCTCCGCACGACTCGCGCGCAGATAAAATCAACGTTATAACGATATTCAAAAGTCGAGTGCTCTCGGAGCTGCTGCGGCAATAATTGTTCATAGCGGATGTCCGCGCTCTGTCTCTCGCAAGCGGGAAAAGCGATTTTCCTCTATCTCGAAGACGCGACGCGACCGGGTGGTTATCAGAAGAAAACGCGTACGGCAACCGCTCAACCTCGAGATTTCCCGGGCGGGGAAACGCGCGGGAAAAACATTTCTACAAAGAGACTCATCGTTTTGCAGCTGCAGGTAAAGTCGGTCCGCGTTGCGGTGCCACCCCTCTCCAAGATAATGTTAATATCCAGCTCTCGAGGTTTTGTAATTGGCAATTATTTTAGCTTACTCCGCTCTTTGTTCTCCGACGTTATCCCGGCGATGGTGCTCACTCGGATTCCCCGAAGAATCCTCGAATGTGTCTGCAGCTGCGCCCTTTACGCAATCACTTCGGGGCTAAGCCGGAGTCGTATCCCTAGCGGTCCGGAACTTCCCTTAACGCGAGAAAACCTACGTTCCATTTTCCGTTGAATTTTCCTATTATCGCTGAACGGCCGAGAAAATTTCGGGATCAGGATTTTCCAAACCTACCTAAGCCAGTGGTACTAACTTTTTCCAAAACTTACAGCAACGGAACGAACGTGGAGACTATTTTCGAACATTATTCCAAGAGAGAGGGAAACCTTCCACGTCTCGTCGACGTAAACGCAATGTTCGTTCGCGTTTGCTCGCAACGCGCGTCCACCCACAAGGAAGACTGATAGTCGAAAGTGCGGCATCAGGATCGGGGCGCGTTTTAGCGGTAAACGCGAGGCGTGGCTTCCGGACTTTCGCGTTACGGCGCGCGCTATCGAGGACAGGCATAAATCCTGAACGTCGACCGGCCGCGAACGAGCACCACTGAAGCGCGTGTACACCCTGAATCAACCCCTCTCTCTCTCTCTCACTCTCTCTTTACATGCACACAAAAGCGAAAGGTTATTAACGAGCCCAGATTAAACCCGATAACACGCCGCGACGGTATCTTTCGGTTCATGGCGATGCACGAGGCGCCCTTTGCCGGCGGCGCCACGCGCACACCAGTTCTCCTCTCTCTCTCTCGTTATCCATTTTCGCCGTTAACGTTTAATGCATTCCCGGTGCAGGCGCGAGCACTCGCCGTGCCAGTTGCAAGCCTCGGCTCCACAAATTTTGCAAAACACCGATATAAATCGTTTGATAACGCGCGTTGGCCCTGAGCGTCGATATATACAATGTGCGGGGGTCGACGGGGCGCGAGAAGCGCAAGTGGGGCGGCAACGAGGGGGAGAAAAGAGGGTGGCGGAAAAGAGAGAGAGAGAGGGTGAGCGCGCGCTGGAAATTTGGCGAAACGCCAGGCGCATCGACGACGCTGCAAAGTGCGCACGGCCAGCCGGTGCATCGCGTCCGACCGAACGTGTCGGATGACGTAACCGATATCGCTAATTGCAAAAACTACCGCCGCGGAACATCGCCCGCGGTATCTCGCGCCCGGACTTTTTAACCCCCGGGGTGGTTGCATGCCCGCGTCGCACCACCCAGTTTTTGAATTCGATACTATCGCGGAGAGGTAATTTAGACGTTTCTTTTAACGGGAAGCCACAACGGCTCGGCGATGTTGCTATCACACTCGTCGATGTGCGCGGAATTTCGCGAAAACTTTTCTAATATCCATCCGCATTCACATATATACACGTACACACGTCGGGCTGTTAGACGTGTTTTTAACTGCCATTGCTATGTACCGGGACGATATACACGCGATCGTGAATATTCCCCGACGTCACTTTCAATTAATATGGATATACAAAAAAGAGAGTGCGCGGATATGTATAAAAAGATATTAAAAAAATTTCAGCTCACGCGGAAATTCATACGCGCACTAGTGCGATAGAAAAATATAAAAAGCATATCGAATTTATTCAAACGAATATAATATAATACGTTTTCTAAGGCAATATTAAATAAAGCGGAAGAGCGCGTGACTGAAGCGTTAAAAATAAATTTATATATATATACATAACATGTGTACTCTGTCTCTGTATATGTACGTCGAATTCCAAGAATTTCAATCTCCGCTAGCGTCTAAAAAGAAAAAAAATTGGCGCGCGATAGGACTTCGTCAGGAAACGTTTCCAAGGCCTGTGCAACGGCGCGGACACTTACGGCAATTAAGCATCCCTTCTCTACAGGATCCACAAACCTCTTCGGAGAAAAAACTAAATAAATAGAGGAGTTCGCCTTGCAGGTCGCGAAGGACGAGGAGGTTGATGCGGATACGCGGCGGTGGTCGGTAGTGCTAGGGAGCTTGTGCAAACACAAAAGCTCACGGCTGAAGATAAACAGTGAGACTGTAAGCTGCAACATACCTTCGGGCATTGCGCCGGTAGGTAGGAAGGATAGAGATAGAGGAAGAGGCAGAGAGAAAAAGAGAAATACGCGGACATTGTGCAAGGTTGTGAGCCTCTTTCAAGGAGAGACGGGAAACTAAGACGGGCGAGAGAAAACTCTGGCGAAAAAGAGCCACCTATAACGTTGACACCTAACAGCCGAAGGTCTCTCTCTCACCCCGAGCCTCTTCCGAGAGAGGGTCCTCTGTAAACTTACGACATTAGACCGTCTGTGGAATAAACTCTCGTTTTAATAGCGTAAATATACATGACGCGTAATCCACTTTGTCTTTTTCTCTCTGCCGCGGTTTCTCGCGCGAGATTTTTGCGTGTAACATGGGAATGTCTCCGACGTATCGTGAATCTTTTTGGGTCGCGAGTTTACGCCGTTACGGACTGCAAATTTTAGAATGGTTATCAGATAAAAGCTCGTAAAGCACAGATGAGAGCTGTATTTACGCTTTACATTTTAACACGTAGATATTGAAATTATAAGATATATAATATATAGCTGTAATTATTTATTATACGCATATATATATAATCATGCATTTGATAGATAATTGACATGAATTTCAATTCGTGTACGTGTAAGCAATATATCAACGTTTAAAAAGGTCTTACCTGTTGTGGTTTCCGTTGGATAGATCAGAAATCGTCCTGCAACAGACACAGATAATTTTGCAAATTAATTATTAATATATGAACTAATAACAAATAAATAATTATAATTATGTTACTGGATCGGAAATAATAATATAATTAAATTCATTAACCGGTCTGTGACTTTCTGTTTTGATAATACATATACATATAATATGCGAAACAAGGCAAAATGTATGTTATTATACTCGCAAATTACATATATGCATATATAGATACATGTATATATAAATTCTTAACGCTTCGTCATGCTCGCAGTATAGATGTAGTTTTTATTAGAGGAAATACATTTATCATATATTTTCTGCATATATTAATATAACTACAGTTTCAATCGAGCAATTTAAAATAGCTCGGAGCAGAGATGGGTAAGAGTATATTTTGGAACAGCTAATCTAGCTTCAGGTCTTAACTTGTAACTAGGTTAGTGGACGCGTGCTCATCGTCCGTGACAGAGGTTTGCACTTCAAAACTACGTGACGTGGCTTACGTTCTCGCTGCGTGTTCTCGGAAAACTGACGCGTTGGTCATTACTTGCAGCAACGAGTGCCCGATCGCAAGAGGAATAATTAATTCAAGCAATGTCATTAAAAGTACGCGGAAGTTAAAACATGCTAAATGACACGTTTATCATGGTAAGCGTGTTAAAACGACACTCTCGGCGTTGTGAATTCGTATAGGAGGGATATGTGCGTGCAATTATACGGAATTAAATAGAACACATGATCTCATTGAAGGATAACGCTTATGAATCGTGTATGCGCCTCATCTTTTTTGCGTTTCGCAACAAAAGTAAAATAGTTGGCGATAAATAATCCCTAGAGCAGCGCGTTCGATAAATAAAATGCGGTAATATAATTCTTCTTTTTTTGTACCGCACAAATGGCAGCCACGCCAATGATTATTCATCGAATCTATCACAAACGTATCCTCTCGAGGCCTGCATGTGTCGAGTCCGTGCATATAATTTATTATCACTTCGCGTTACACTAAAAATGCCTTTACTGATTCATTCGCAGACGCATAAAAACCACGCCGCCATACATTACTCCGTGGAAACCCTTGTATCCACTTTACGCACACACAATCAACTGCGCTATAAAACGCACCTCGACCTACCAATATTTTTCCCTCTACCTTTGCGTTTTACAACTTTGAGCATGAATATAAGAAGCAACGGAAACTTCATCACTATATATTCTTTCATCAACTTCTATCTTATCTAACATTTTACGGCGTCATGTGTCTCGATAGTTAATTTTTCTACACACGTTACTTTTCATAAAGTTACTATCTATCGACCGAAAATTATTACAAATTGTTATAAATTTTTACTGTCACATTTACGTTACTCAGAGAAACTTGAGCATATTTTCTTCGTTTTTATTTTAATGTAATTTTGCAACGGACAGAGCTTTCGTTGTCGTATGTAAAGTGGCGTATACAGATATAAATAAAATTCGTTTGTAGTATTCACACAGCGAGGCCAAGAAATTCAAAGCTAACTGAAGTTGTACCGAGTTCGAAACTTGCTTCACGAGACACAGAGGCAGTAAGATCTTGCACAATGCGTTACAGACTATAGAGTTCCCTTGTTAAAGATTAGCACGATTCTAGAAAAGCTTCTGGAGAGTGAATGAAAGACACGAACGGAGATATTGTTTTCTTGTCGCGTGCTTCAAACTAACTCTGAAGGGTAATAAAGATAGACAGTGGAGTAGAGGCAAGATATATATCGTTGAAAGAGCGGACACAGATTTTTAAGAGCGATGAAAAAAGCTTTAATTGGGACCAAAAAGTGATAACGTTGTAAGAAAAATACGTGCACATATTATAACATGCGTATGAAAGTTTGTTACATTTATCACGGGACTGTAGAGAAATTTTTACATATGGAGGAATGTAACGAATATAACGGTCCGACTATCTTTCAACGCAACAAACATTTGCCCCACATAACCACGGCAATCCCCTGAGGAACACTTTTCATATTCCGATATAAATTGGATAGACCAGGCTCACAGCATAATCGATAGTATTTTATCGCTCGCTAACAAGATGTCTCTTCTTTTTTCCGTTTCTATTAAATATATGTTCCAATCTTCTTTGAAAATCAAGATAAATAATAAAATTTACATCTTCTATAAAAATAGAAATAAAATCGAATGATTCTACTTAATATGCTACAAAATATTTCCGATTTACATACAATTTTATCATTTCTATTACGTGAATTTAATAAATATTATTTTATGGACTTGACAATTTTACAAATATTATTTATGCTATTTTAATAATTTTATATTTATCGCAACTTTTGTATGTCATATAAAATAAAAGTGAAAATATTTTTAATAATACATTTACATTTAATAACATATGCATACACATACTACATTATAAAGAATAATGATATTGATACTTATTTGCTAATAAAGTATCGACCATGGCTTGTAATTACGAAAACAAACGCCTCATTTATTTTTACATATTATATCTTTCTGCTAACACAGCGTATACTGCAAATCATCCTGTTGGAACGATTAATTGGGTCAAAATCATTATCGGTCTCTCCATTGATATAATGATCGCGACTTTGAGCAGTTAACTTCAATTACTAGGGATCTGCACCGCATTCATTATTGTCTACTAACTGTACGCACACATACACATTCATCTGGGTATAATCTCGTTAATATTAGAAGATAATGTTAAGGGTTATATGGAGCGCTAATTATTTAAGCTGCTAACTGTATAGGAAACTATGTAAATTTTAAAGATTTAACTCGTGTAGTACATAATGATAATTTTATAGTTGACACATAAAGAAGAATTCAAGAGAAACTGGATAAAAATTATACTATATAAAAATTGTTTAAATTCAATTTTATACAGGGAGAGAGAAAGAGAGAGAGATAAATGTCTAAAATTCCGAATTTTATTGTATTATACATATTATTAAATATTTTCCCTCTTTCGTATGAATAGAAATAAATCAATACAATAGAAATAAATCTTCCGCTACATTAAATTTGCGATTGTATATGAAACGCAATTTGTTTCTCAGGGAGATGGAGCATGGTGTAGTGTGTACATGCTTCAAAATTTAATAAAGCTAGAATAGCACGGGAATAGTATAAAACGATCGAAATAAAATGATTTTCCAGCAGGTAGCTAGCCTAGGATATATATATTCCATGGAATAGTAGTGGAGATTACCAATACATGGAATACGTAACGTATTGCGAGACACGCGCATTAAGAGATCAATATTTGATGTCGCGGCAATCGATAATTGAACGTATTGTTTTCCGAAACGTGCTCTCGAACGTTCGTGCTTATTTCGCGATTCGTCGAACATGTGAGCGTTTTATTGTCAAGGAAAACGTGAAAAATTTAAGCCGGTCTACTTTCACCGTGCGAATGTCAATGAACGAATATCTCGATGCTCCATCGCATCAACGAGCAAAATTTCGTTTAATTAGACGCCATGATAAGTACATCATTTTTATTTTCAACTTCTTCGTTCTACGTACGTTGATGCAGTCAAAAGGTAACGCGTTCTATGCATAAAACAGACTTGTCCAGAAATATTCCGATGCGCGTGTATACGCAGGAAAGTACCCCTTTTACCGGGGAATTCGACGAACGCGAACGCTAGGTTTCGTTTGAAGAGAGAGAGAGAGAGAGAGAGAGGGGTTGGGTCTCCAACAACTTGAACAACTTCACAATAGTCGCGGCCTTTGCACGGTTCGCTACGCGAAATAAACTTTACCAGCTACCTAACTTTAAAATTGATGATCGCGTTGTGTCGGCGCATGTAAGTGTATCCGCAAGACAGAAATACGATGTTTGTGTGTCAATGACAGTTTATCGGGTGCGACTTCAGATGTACCCTGAGCATAGAAGATCGGAGATAAGGGAGTGTGTAGACAGTGATCATTATCACGCGTACGAGAGTTTCCACTCTATTTCGTCGTCGACGTTATACACAGAGAATATCATTACGCGAAGATCGCGTGAGAAAGAGACGGAGCATGTGCGATAGAGAAGGCTCTCCTTTGCAGCCGAACTCTCCACAACGCTCGAGGACACTTTTCCGCAGAACGGAACCCGGCACACATGGCGATTGTAAGCTTCTGCCGATGGCATCGGCACAGAGCGATCAGCGAGAAAATTTTAGATCCGCTCCGAACCAGCAACGAACCATTGGACTACGATGTTCTCCACATTTGGTTTGGTTTCATTGTTACGAAAAGGGCGTGACTCGCCCTCGCTGCGCTTATTGTTAGATGCAAAAACGCGTGAATTTCAATGTGGAATCGTCCTGTCTGAATCAAAGGGACTGGAATTTGGAGCGGACAGCCATGCGAGCTGGTATGTAAATGTATCTACTCTTTCTGTTTGCTGTTACACAGATGACACGGAAAAATTGTAGAGATGGTTCTACATATACGCGTGGAAACGCATTTGATTTTACGTTTTACTGTAACATATTTTAAATCGCAAAATGTTGAAAAAAAAAAGATTAAACGATTATTCCATAGATTCAGTTATTCTCTTAAATAGAAAAACTTGTTTAATCTTTAATTCATAATCACTAAATTGTGTACAAAAGAATCGCGATTTATATTAACGTGAATTATATTAAATTCAAAAACTTCTCATAAATTATCACGGAAATAATATCCACAGAAATAGCTATTAAATACGTTACGATAGAGAAAGAGAGAGAGAGAGAGAGAGAGAGAGCAAATTTCTAATAAACTATTAAAAAGAAAACAATATAATTAGTTCTCTAGAGATCTTGTTCTCTAAATATGATATCTTATTTATATATTTGAAATTTAATAATTCAATGCGATTGTTGTAGTTCTCTGCACCCCAGTGAACAAAACAACAGGAAGTGTAATAAAATTCTTTAATTATTGAGAGAAAATACAACAGCAAACTGATAAATTATTAAACAATGTTACGCAATATTGCATAACAAGGAA